TGAAGTATTTTGAAAGCCAGGTTGGAAAAGAATTTTATCTTTTGTCTTTTAGACCTGTGTTGAAAGCAATAGGCCATCTGACTGTACAGGGAACACCTAAGAAGAAAATTGATGTACAGACTCTTGAAATCATTGCCATACAAGAAATACTCATTCCAAAATCTGATAAAATGCAAAGAGGAAATAGCACTTATTTCTAATGCTTCCTCTGAATAAGGTTTAGTTTTTCTTATTATACCTGCTTTTTCTTAGCAGAGCTGAGGAAATCTGGTTCCCGTTGAAGCAGATGGAAAGGTCAGAAATAAACCTGTTACTTAACCAGATTTCAGAGATTTACCCTTGGGTATCTGTGTTGTACAAATTCCAATGAATTCACATAGATCATAATTTTCAGCAAAATGTCATTAGTGATCTCTTCTCAAAAAATAATGGCTTTCTGTGTTTCAAGGAGAATATACTAAAGAAGAAGGTCCGTTAAGATAAATGGTAGATCCTTCTGTTCCCTCCTGCTCTACCCGTCGCTTTGACCAGCTCATTCAAGTTGGCAAAAAGAGCCCAGTAGTGTCACTGGCAAGTCCTAATCAGTATCAGGTTTGAATGGCTCACCCCGGTGAAACCATCCATCTCCTCTCTCCAAAATATATTGCCCCTGTTGATTTTCACATCTGCTTCGGAGGAGATTCAGAATCATAAATACTTGGGAGAGAGTGTGTTGAGAAGTTTCCAGGAACAAATTGGTTTATCTGGTTCCCCTGGAATGTCTTTGAAACTGTGTCATAAATTCCAGGACAGTTGCTACACAAATATAGTTACTAGCATAAAACTTGTCATGTGGTCCTGTAATAAAAATCAAGTGCTATTTTCTGTGTTGATGTCTAATTTCAGAGGTAATTGTGCCTTTAATTCAGGCTTCTATATTTTTCCCCATCGACATAAGCAGGAAGATAGCTGGCTTGGTGTCTGCCTGGTGTGGTGCTGCCTATCTCAGTGGAGGGCCAAATTCTTCTCCAGGAAAATAATTTCCAGGCTTTCATAGCCACATGTGCTCCAAGAGGTGGTTGTCTCTGAGGAACAGACTTCATGGAGTAAATGAACAAATCCTTTGTAGCACATGGAAATTAGCCTTCATTACTTAAAGAGGAGTATCAAAAGAATTGGCTTGGCTTAATTGAAGAGAGATATGTAGGAAATGTTTTTCAGTTGCTTAGTCCTCTATAGATCAGGGAACATAGTGACTTGTTTTCCTCATTTGTATTCTTAGAAATCTTCAGTTTCAAGTCTATTCTCATTCCCTCCACTTTCCCTGAGTGAATTATTAAGGGACAGCCTTATAGCCAATCTATAAATCAGAGGAGTAAATGTTAAATCAGGCCTCCCTCTGCTGCAAAATCTGGTAGATATGAAGTGCTGTGTTTACACTGATAAAGTAAATGATTTTATGTCTTCATGCAAATGCTCCTAGGGTTATCTGCCTGTTAAAGATATTAGAAATCCTGGTGCAGCAGCGGATGTTAAACTGAGTTAGCTAGAATATTACACAGTACAAATTGCATCAATAAAATAAAGCCATGGGCAAGGTTGTTTGAGGAAGTTGGTCATTGTGAGGGCTTTATGAAAACTCATTAATTCAGTTTTGAGATGAAAAGGATTATGTTGGAGAACTTTAATCCAAGGCCATGGGGATGGGTGTTTTCTCTTGCAACTAGAACCAAGGTGGTTTCCTTCCTACTTCCTACTTAATCAATGGTGAGGGAAATCAAGAAAGAAATAATCTCTGATATCACAGTATGCCTGACTGCTGTTTGTTTTCCGTAATCATGACACCTTGTTATTTTTCCTGAATGCAGCACTTCTGCCACAGACTTATCCATTTTTTTCTGGCTTGTAGAATATGGTATTAAGGGATTAGACAGTGAGTGTTTACTATTTTACTGCCAGAAGTAACTGATAATGATGTAGATCTCAAATTGTCTGTTTTGCTGGTGTAGGCTAGGATTCATGACAGATCATCAGTACAGGAGTTCATTTAGTATTGACAATTTTTTCTTTCCCATCATGGTCTTGAATACCTTCTACTGGGTTTGAAATGATTCCTTAAAAGTCGTAAGTCTCAAATTATTGATCTGTCTGACCCCAGGAATCCACACTGTGGCTATATAAAATATTATGGTTTTCCCTTCTCTGAAATGCTTTGTGGGGTCTTCATAAAGCTATAATGGAACCTACTACTAGTTTTGAATATTTCTGTAGTATCCTATAAGAACCTCTGAGAAAACCTCCTGAAACCTCCTAGATTTTGCTATACTATTTTCTGAAAGAGTTGATTTCAAAAGTTGAAGGAGAAATTTTATATAAGAAAACATTTTACACTCACCCTTGGAGCAGAACCACAAGTTCTGCAGTGTAATGTGAAATAACTACTGATACAGTCCCTTTAGGTTTGAGAATTACTGGAATTTAAGCATTGTGAACTTTGAGGCTTGAGATAAAAACGAAAGTTTTCACTGCTGTTTAGTTAAAAATTAGCCATTGCTGGCTTACACTGTATTTTTGATAATCAAGTTAATGATGTATAGGATGAAATATGATGGACAAATATCATAAGAAAATAATTACCTCATGATCTTTTTGTTCTCAGTTTTTCTCTCTAGAGTTTATCTCTTGGAATAGTTTGCTTGTTTTATCTTTGCATGTTCTAACTGGAAAATTGGATTTCTCACAACTACTGAGTTTACCTTATCCAATTTACCTGCTAAGTGGCTGGAAGAATCATATGAAAAAAATAATTGTCTTTAGTTGGAGTTTATTAGATATAAGCTTTATTTCTGGCCATTATACTATCCTTTCGACACCATTTGTGTACAGTACACAGAAGTGTACTGTTATGAGAGGATTATGTGATAGAACAGCTGAAAGCATCTTGTTTTTAAGAAACAGCATGCCTTACACATCATAGAATCATGCAATTGTTTGGGTTGGAAGACACCTTCAACTATCATCTAGTCCAACCCTCCTGCCATGGGCAGGGGCATCTTTCACTAAATCAGGTTGCTCCAAGCCACATCCAAGCCGACCTTGAACACTTCCAAGGCTGGGGCATACACAACTTCTCTGGGCAACCTGTTCCAGTGTTTCTGGCTTTCTGGGCTGCAAACGCACATTGCTGGCTCACGTCCAATTTTTCATCCGCCAGTATCCCCCAGTCCTTCTCTGCAGGACTGCTCCCCATCCCTTCAGTGCCAGTCTGCATTGGTGTTGGGGATTGGCCTGATACAGCTGCAGGACCTTGCACTTGGCTTTGTTGAACTTTATGACCTTTGCACAGGCCCACTCCTCAAGCCTGTCAAGGTACCTCTGGATGGTGTCCCTTCCCCCAAACACATCACCTGCATTGTGTAGCTTCGTGTCAGCGGCAAACTTGCTGAGGGGTGCACTCAATCCCACTGTCCTACTCGATCCCATCCTATTGATGAAGATATTTAATAGTATTGGTCTGAGTACAGACCCTTGAGGGGCAACACTCGTTACCGCTTTCCACTTGGACATTGGCCATCTAGCCAATTCCTTAGCCTTCTAACAGTCCATTTGTCAAATGTAAGAGTGAATTGTTAGTATTTATTTTTCTTTTAGACAGCTCCCTGCTAGTGCTATATATAATAGTAAAAGAATTATCACTTATAACCAGAAATTCAGTGTGGTAACTGAACTGCATTTTCTAGAGAGACTGAGAATTTTCTGGACATGCTTTGGACCAAAGAAAGCATTTAAACCTTAAAAGATAAATGCTTTAAAATATTGTTACCAAATTTATTCTCTTTGTTGTATGTAGGTGTGTCTCAGGCTTTGCACTGGCAATAGCATCTGTAAAAAGAGCTATCTAAGACATAGAGCTGAATTCTAAATGTTTTTCACCTTTAATACATAACTTTCTTTTACACATACCTAATACCTCCTTTCATCTTGACCACAGCATCTCCTTACCCTTGTTTCCCTGGCCCCCTTCTGGCTGTTTAGAGGTTTTGTGTGTTCAAAAAAAATAACTGAAGTGATCTGTAAAATCCTAGCATGGATGTGTGCCCAGAAAAGGAAAAACATACAAAACCCCAACCAACCAAATAAACAAAACCCAAAACAAACCCCAAAACATCAATCAAACAAACAAACAAAAAGCAAAACAAAACAACCACATAAGAACCCAGGAAAGTGTTGAGAGCCATATGCAGACTCTGATGATGTATAGTAATTTTGTCTTGTCTTTTCCCCTATTGATTGTTTAAGAATGACTGTTACCCAAGGGTAGGGGGAAAGTAGTTTTGAAATGACTCTTCACATAAAGACTGTTTGATTTGTTTTATCCTTCGGGAAATTCTGGTTACAGAGAGGCTCACTAGATAATGTGTTTTGTAGTGTTACAGGTGAATATATAGGGTTTTTAAGCTTCTTCCTCAGTTGTCTCTCATTAGTTGCCATGTCAACCTGTCAAATCCTTTTCAGAGCTTTTTATTTTTGTTATTCTCACTGGTGAAGCTTTTTGCAAATCTTCCACTGAGCAATCCAACAAACCTTACACTTTTCAAGCCTCCTCCTTACCTCTAGCAGAAGCGGCATCCTAGGTTTGTTGTTGCTAACTCCTCCTTTATGTTCTTTTCAACTTGCAGTCTGATCCCTTATCTCATTCTACTTGGCAAACGATCCTATTTCTGTAGGAACAATTTGTCTGAACCCTTGATGGTGTTCTGAAAACAAATTTTAACTTCAGCAGTAGTTGCAAAGGACAATAAAATAGATACGGTTCCATATTAATAAATTGATTAAGGAGTGTTCGGAGATTGTACGATTTAATAGATTATAGCACTATATGTGGGTGCTTGTAGATTTTGAAAATCCACCTGTTTATGCCTTTTTCTTAAGAATGCAAAAGTTACATGTAAATTACTCCTGTGAAACTCTTGTGTTGCCGCAGCATTTGCCTTCCCCCTTGGTTTTAGGGACGTCACTAGATGGCGGTAAAACAGCAGTTTCGACCAAGAAAAGGCTATTTAGGCATTTAACGTAAGTCTGCAAGGTGGTAAAATGATCCTGAACGACAGTACAGTAACTAAGGTGTCCCAAATGCTTGTTACTTGTTTTGGTAGTAATGAATTTTCCTTGACCTCTGGTGTGTTTCTGATTATATCTTCTCTCTCACATTAATCAAACATGGAATACATCTAATTCCAGGACTTCTGAAGCAGTTGCTTAGAGATGTTGAACAACAGCGTGCATAAATATTCGGTTTGGATTTCTGAAAGCAGAAAAAGAGCTAACTGATTTTTATTTTTTTTAGTCTAGAATCTTTCATCAGATCCCTTTTTTAAAAAGAATACATAGAGTGAAACACCCTAAGACCATGGAAGTCAGAGCTTTCGCCTGGACTTTCCTTCTAATTACATATTTTTAAAATTAAGGTGTTTTCCAGTATTTGCTAATCCTGACCCTCTGTTACAAAAGGTTTTATACTTATTGCCATATGAAATGTGAGTTACTTCATACTTTAAATGTTGGTGATATATAAAGCCCCAAAAATAACCTCTGGAAAGGGAATGCAGCTGTTGTTATATCAGCAGGTAGTAATAGAGGACAAGAAGAACAGAAAACTGTGAAAAATTCAGAGCAGCTCATTTGCTAAGCAGTATAAAATTACCTCTGCTCAGTTATGACAGCAGGATGCAAAAACCTGCTCAAGATTTCACACAACAGACACCAGCATACTACGTTCAGAGTACTCCGTACACACCTGCAGAACCAGGGTATCGAGTGTTAATCTGACATCGGTTTGAATCTATCATCAAAGGATTGTTTTGATTTTTATATGATGCACTAAAAAGGTTTTACTAAATGTGACTTAGAGCATTCTGCGGTGAAATTAGTAAAAAAGTAAATGTCAAACTAAAATTTTATCATTATCTTTTCAAGGTAATGAGGAAGTTAAGCAAATTAAATTATAAGGCCAGACCCCTCAATCCCATCCAAAATACTTGGGCTTCTTGAAGGAGTGGTACAGAAAAGTAGATGTTAACTTCCTGCTTTCTCTTCTTGATCACGGTACTGATGTGTGTGAACCTGCGTTTGATCGTGGCAGCGGCAGCATTTTCCTGATGGTTGGTGGGAGCTGCCTGCTCTTCTGTGCCGATGACATGGTGTAAAATTGCCACAACCGATCAAAAGATCTTACCCCAGATAATGGTTCAATAGCAGTCAATTCTTTTCACACAGCATGTTGTAGCCTAATACTTTTTTTTTATTCCCCTTCCGTTGATTTCTCGCAGAGTTTGCTGTGCCATCTTCTTTCTTCTTCAAAGTGGGAAAGTAATGAAGCTGAAACCAGTACATTCATATCAACTCTTGGCTACACGTCAGCAGATTATTATTGTCACTTAGTTAAAAATGTAAGTATTTTGTGCAACTGAGATTTTGTTAATAATAAATCACCAATTTATAAGCACATATATGGAGTTGTCATTGTTATAAGGAACATGAACTGAACTTTGTTTATCTTTTCTTACCCCACTTACTTTTACAGCCTATTAAGGGGAAAAAAAGAAGTGGGAGATCTCTGGACAAAAGAAAATTTTTAAATCAGATTATACTGTAATAGATGTTCATAAAATCAAAATTCCTGTTGCTATTGTGGTATAACAAAAAAAAGTCTGTCCTATCATATTTTTTTTTCTTCCCAGTGAAGTTTAAATTGTATATATTATTTTGTGTATTAGGATGTCACTTTTGGAATTTTTTCTTTGACTGTATGCACTGCATTCGAAATGGTAGATGAGCCCTAAATCTTAGGAAAAGTGTCTTTTACATTTAATATATAAAAATAATGGGAATAATATTTCATAATACATTGACTTAGACTAGATAAAGCATATGAAAATTATTAGTAATGCCATTCTCAAAGTTTGCCTCAACTCGTCAGGAAGCAGAGCTAAAATAAATAGCTGCTTAGTTTTCAAATGTGGAAGGTATATAATGTGTGTTCAAAAAACGTTTTGCAGCATAATTTATGCAGTGATCTGGACAGCTTTAACTTGGCACCAATAATTTAAAAAATAAAAAATCAAACTGAGTGAACAGAGGAAGTTATTAACCTCCACAGTATGTCAATCACACAGAGAACCATGCAACTAATGTCTGCTCATTTGCAGTATGTGTAATTTATTTATCAATTTATTTATTTATTTTATTTCATTTAACAGATGGTCTTTTCATTAGTAACAGAACTCAGAGGAAATAAATTCAATGGACTTAACATTCAGGGGAGGTAAGTGTTATCTAAACATCATTTTGATACGTTTTAGTTTGGATCATTACAGTTCGCTAAGGACCTTTTTACAGTCTTGCTCAACTTAGACTTCAGTTAGAAAGCTTTGGATACATATGTAGATAATTTCAGGTACGGACAAGCTTATTAAGTTGTGTTTCACATAAGAGTTTATATTTTACCTGAGAGTCATAGAATGGTTTGGGTTGGAAGGGACCTTCAATGATCATGTAGTCCAACCCCCATTCTGTGGGCAGGGTCATCTTTCACTAGATCAAGTTTACTTAAAGCCTCATCCAACCTGACCTTGAACACTTCCAGGGGAATTCACAACTTCTCTGAACAACCTGTTCCACTGTCTCATCACCCTGATAATGAAGAATTTCTTCTTTATATCTAATCTAAATCTACCCTTCTAGTTTAAAACTGTTGCCCCTTGTCCTGCCACTAGAGACCCTGGTAAAAAGTCTCTCTCTGTTTTTCTTGTAAGCCCCCTTTATGTATGTGTTGAAAAGCCGCCATAAGGTCTCCCTGGAGCCTTCTCTTCTTCAGACTAAACAACCCCAACTCTCTCAGCCTGTCCTCACATGAGAGGTGTTCCAGCCCTCTGGTCATTGTTGTGGCCTCCTCTAGATGTGCTCCAATAGGCCCATGTCTTTCCTGGGCTGAGGGCTCCAGAGCTGGACGCAGGACTCCATGTGGGGTCTCACCAGGGCGGAGTAGAGGGGCAGAATCCCCTCCCTCGACCTGCTGGCCATGCTGCTTTGGATGCAGCCCAGGATACAGTTGACCTTCTGGGCTGCGAGCACACATTGCTGGCTCATGTCCAGCTTTTCATCCATCAGTCCCCTCAAGTCCTTCTCGGCAGGGCTGGTCTCCATCCCTTCATCCCCCAGCCTGTGGTGATACTGGGGGTTGCCCCAACCCAGGTGCAGGACCCTGCACTTGGCCTTGTTGAACTTTATGAACTTCATAATCCTAATCTTGGCTATTATATGCATTTTATGACCGAAGTTAACTGGCAGATACTATAAGAAAAAGCAAAAATATATTTCCAAAGGAATTTTATTCCCTATTTATGCAAGTGATAGTTTAATATGACAGAATAGTAGTTACTTTGTACTTGTTATCAATGATAAAATTTCTCCATGCTTATTTAAAGAACATCTTATTTTTCTTCCATTAGTTCCTTGATCTGATACCAAACAGTGCTATGGCAATACTGTGTGTTTCATATACAGCTATTTTAAATGTACCTAAGCACATAGTATTTCCACCCTTTAAGTGCTTCCTTGGCCTGATTTTCTAAGGATGAAAGTCTGAGAAAGTGGATAGGAAGGATATTGTGATGTGCTCTGGCCCGATTGACAATCCAGATTATCAGGAAATGCTAATAATCACCTTGCAATATTGTGTGTGTTGTTTCTACCTGTCTAGGTGTAGTCTGTGAGAATAATCACATTCTTCATCCACGTAACATAAATCTGGGTAATTAAGCCAAAATCTGTGACTGTTAAAAAAAGAATACATTTCCCTAATACTACTGTTGTCAATATTTTTGACATGATCATGCCTTTTCATTGTGTAATTTGTGCCTTTCCACTGACTTTGAAATGCAGATCATAGTCTTTCATCAGTACTTCAATAATTATCATATTTGAATATGTCAGTACAGCCTTTTGGTTGCGTGTAAATTAAGTGTATTCAGGCTAAAAAACAAAAGCAAAATTAAGAGTGGATATTTTTAATATAGACTATATACTCAATTTGTGGCTTCTCTTTTCAATGTATGACTCTTGTGTGTATATTCTATTGGTCGTCAGAGTCAAAGCTGCTGACACGATGAAATTAGTTTTATGACCTATTTAACACCACACAGCCTGTAAAGTTACAGGAAAGAGGAGGCTGATTGAAGTATTTTGCTTGTATCACGAGCCACTAGCTTGGCTATTTTTCTCCCTTCCTTCTTGTACCTAGGTGTTTCTGTAAGGAAGACTAAATGGGCTGAATTCATTTAGAGCTGACTTTAGTACTGAAATTGTGGACAAAGCTAATGAGGAGCATCACAAAGTTTTGTTCAATGCAGAAAAAACACACCCATGTTTTATAAAGTAGGCAGACTTAGCTGAAAAGCTAATGATACTGTTGGAAAGAGAAATATCTGATATTCCTTCAACTGCAGAACTCTAAGACAAAAAATTTTTAACTAAGCATTTGAAGACAGCAGGATCTATATTGTTTCGTTCATAGAAGTTGTATCTCTTGAGAGGAGAGAGGTCAAGGAAGTAACAGAAGACCTTTAAAGCAGCCAGGGAGTCTCTTGTGAGGATCTAGCAAACCTACATGGGGCTGTGAATCTGTACTCTTCCCTACCTGTGCTTCGCTGATCCTGGGAAAGACCAAGCATTCC